CAGAATATAACCTTCTCCTACTCTGGTTCTCCAAGACTTCTCTATTATCTCTATCAGCTTCTAAGGAACCGGGCCTGGAAGATCGCAGTAGTTAGGCTTAAATCGTCGCAGAATTAACTCCTTTTTGCGATACCATAAATAATAGTAACATAAAAAGTCAAGTCACTCCAAATTTAATTGAGGGAGAAAAAGCCAATGCCTTTGAACTGCCTATTGGAACACAGTAGTTGAGAAATGCATCGGCTCAGCCAAAAATTTCAAAGAAATTCGGTTACACAATTGTAGGCAACTACTCACTTGTTCCAAGTCATGCAATCACAGGTTGCGATGTCAGTTGGCGCGAACTAGCAGGTGGAACCGAGGTTAAAGAGCAGATAATGTAAAAAATCATAAGGCAAGGTTTAGAATTCAAAAGATGGAATATTATTCGTGGTTTTTTAGGAGAAAAAACTGTCACCCTTGGGAGAAAAAAAATGTCGTTCAAGCAACTGATCATCAAATTCAACTTTGGTTTTAGCATCTGCAAACTAACATGTCAGCTTGAAGGCTTTTGGAAGCAAAAGATAATTAAATATAATAATACACTACTTCTCAAATAACCAATCAGTAACCCTTTGTTTATATGCGCCATATCATTGGTACCAAATCATATTTCGCCTCCTGATTTTTGCTTCACGGAAGAGTGCCATGAAAAAATCAGACCGGCCTGTTGAATTTCGTCTCAATGATTCAGTTTGCCGAACATTTTCGTCGAAAGTCACTAGGTTAATGCACTGGGGACCTATAATCGGATTGAGCATTGTCATATTTCTCGCAATTATGTCAATATATTGCATTCAAGCGACCATTCTCCCGTTATCCCGAACATTTGGAGTAGTAAATGTAGTTTTCATTTGCCTGGAATTTATCATTATCATGAGGGGCTACTTATATGCGGCTTGGTTCGGTCCAGGATTCGCAAAATTATCATGGAAACCTGTACGTATTGACACGAAGTATTTTTTTCAATATTCTTGGTGCTTTTTATTTACTATATATGGTTAATTCGAATGTCCTCATCTCGAACCGCCAGTGTAACTTGCATTATTTATTACAAGTGATGGAATTCAAACCTATGTCGTCTTTTCCTTGACATATGTTGTGTTAAGTTCCATTTTCCCCGTCCTTAATCACAGTTTCCTTTCTCGGAAAAAAATTCGATAATGGTTTCACCGTATCACAATTTTGCACCTACCACCCATGTAAAACGCTTACTTATCATATTTTCCCGAAAATATTTACAAATGTAGTTAGTTGTTAATTAACAACTTTTACATAGATCATCAAGTTAATT